TTTTTTTTTCGGATCTAACGGGGTTCAGTTGAACCCCCTGAACCCTCGTTGGATCCGCCACTGCTGTAAACAATTCAGTATAGCAAAATAAACAAAAACGTAAAAGAAAATGAAGAATAACTATGGCGAGAAATCGCGAAGCGGCTCACGACAATTTAGTTTCAGATTACTTTAGTGACCAACCAGTATACGATGAAACCACATTTCGAAGAAGGTTTTGTATGCGAAGACCCCTTTTCCTTCGCATTGTCAACACATAAGTGCAACTAACCGTTACTTCCAACAACATCAGATGTTACCATGCATCTTGGTGCTTCACCCCTTCAGAAATGCACAACTGCCATACGTATGTTAGCTTATGGTTGTTCTGCTGATCAAGTAGATGAGTATCTGAAGCTCGGTGAAAGCACTGCTAGAGAATGTCTTGCACAGTTTGTCGACGGAGTAATTGCTCAATTTGCAACTGATGAGTACCTTCGCAAGCCAACATTGGAAAATATCCAACGCCTCCTAAGAGAAGGGGAGGATAGAAATTTCCCTGGCATGTTGGGAAGCATTGATTGCATGCATTGGGTCTGGAAAAATTGTCCAACTGGATGGAAAGGAATGTATCAAGGAAGATCTAAAACGGCGACTGTTATTTTTATCAGATTGCTTCCAGGGATTTATGGATTTGGCACACCTTCTTTGGGACGCCTGGATCCTGGAACGACATTAATGCACTTCAATATTCTCCGGTGTTTGATGATGTAATAAATAAATGTGCTCCACAAGTTCTGTTCACTGTTAACGGAAATAATTACAACAAAGGATATTATCTCACAGATGGGATTTATCTAAAATGGTCGACATTCATAGATGTTATTGCAATCCCACCAAACCTTAAAGGATAAATTGTTCACTACACGTCAACAGAGTGCTAGAAAGGATGTTGAGCATGCATTGGTGTGTTACAAGCTCGGTTTGCAGTAATTAGGAAGCCTGCTTTGGCATGGAGTGTGGAGTTGATGTGGAAAATCATGATGACTTGCATCATCATCCACAACAAGATAATTGAAGACGAGCGTGATACATATTTAAACTATAAAGATCCACTTGAATTCGCCCAAGAACAGCCTGAAAATATGCCAGGGTTGTCCTTAACCTGAAATGCAACAACATTTACCGTAACTTCTGGGGCAGTATGATCCTAATAATTTTAGTAGATTGATAGCTTCAAGAGGGGAGATTCGCGATTGACAAGTTCATGAAGCATTAAAGAACGACTTGGTTGAGCATATATGGGCAAGGTTAAGGAGCTCGGTTGAAAATTAGCATTTTAATAATTTTAAATTATGTGTGTTATTTTTGTTGCTTATTTTCATCCGTGTATTTCATATTTTTAATTTATGTCTTTTAATTCATGTATTTCGTATTTTACTAATTTTTATATTAATGTGAAAATGTATTAGCTGACGTATTTTTGTTTGATTAATAATAATAATAATGATAATAATAATAATAATAACAACAATAATAATAATAATAATAATAATAATAATAATAATAATAAAACATATTTTACAAACTAAAATAATAATTAAGTGTGTAAATAGGAAAAAGAATATATGGTGGGGTATATGTAAATAGGAGAGAGTATATGGGAAAGGATACTCATTGATGTTGGAAATATTTAAGAAATAGGATAAGTAAAAGGATGGAGATAGTGGGAAGTGATGTGGAAGAAAGAGAGTGTGATGTGTCAAGTGAAGGAAAGGAGAGAGAAATTGGGAAAGGATTATTGTTTACTCTTGAATGTTGATGCTCTAAATAGGAGAGAGAATATATGGTGGGGTATATGTAAAAAGGAGAGAGTAAATGGGAAAGGATACTCATTAAGAGCATCCACATTGGTGCCCCATTTGAGAAAATAAACAAATGGGGACCTCCCAACCAAATGTGGCTTGCTCCCTTTTCATTGAATATAAATGGGGAGGCTCATTTTGTTGTCATGGTTCTGATTTCTTTTGTGGGGCCATTTGCCTTACTTTGTCTGCCAACAAGTTACCATTTTTTTTTAATATTTTTTTTATTTTTTTTAAAACAAAAAATTGGAAAAATGACCGTTGAAGAAACAATATTTCCGTTGAGGAATAAATATTTTTGGCTTACCTCAACGGTAATATTACCGTTTTTTATTGATTATACTTTATTACTTAATTATTTTTGTTTACAAAAATACCTATGCTTATATTTTTTGATCCTCTATAATAGAGACTAATATTGATATATTTTCAACACTTCTAAAAAATCATAAAATCTATATTTCTCATTAAAAATATTTCTTACAATCTTATTTGGTAATTATGGATCCCAATCATCCTAATTATGGAAATAGATATCAAAGAAATCAAAATTCCCAACAAAACCCAAGTTTCCAATCAAATTCGAGTTCTCAGCAAAATCCAAATTACCGACCAAATCCAAATTACCAATCATATCCAAATACTCAACAAAATTCAAATAATTTTTTTGATCCAAACATGCTAAACAATCCTTAATTATTTTCTATGTTCCAAGCATTCATGAATCAGAATACTCAACAAAGTTCCTCACAAGGTACAATTTATCCAACATCTCCACAAGTTCAGCCACATCCCACAGCTCCTATAGGAGACGGGAATAACACCAACATGCCATTTGATTATCAATATGCAACGCAGTCACTGGTTGATGATGAAGATGAAGATGAAGTTCAAGTTCAACACATTGAGGTGACTAGTGGTAATAAAGGGAGAAAAAAGGTGGTGGGGTATGGGAATATAGGAGAGAAAAGGTAAATGGGGAGGTTGATGAATGTAGGTATGAAAATGTAAAATGGGAAGGGTATGAGATGAAGTTAGTGGAAAGTGATGTAGACTAATGAGGTGAGGAGAGAGAAATTATGGGGAGCCCCATGAATGTTGATGCTTTAATGTTGAAAATATTTAAGAAAGAGGATAAGTACAAGGATGGAGATAGTGGGAAGTGATGTGGAAGAAAGAGAGTGTGATGTGTCAAGTGGAGTAAAGGAGAGAGAAATTGGGAAAAGATTGTTGCTTCCTCTTGAATGCTGATGCTCTAATATCCACTTTTTATAATTTTACAATATTTAAAATTGAAGATGTTAATTGTTAAAAGGAAATTTTGTGTAGAACTACCCTAAAGATAGGGTCATTTGTGAACAACTACCCAATTTTTTTTTTATTTGTTTAGAACTACCCACAAATTTGAAAATATTTGGGTATCACTACCCATTAACATTTTCCGTCCAATTAAGACGTTACCGGAGCTCATTTTTTTCACTTTTGCCACCCAATTAACTCTCCCAATTTGTATAAAGGTTTTAATCTACTTTAATTAACCTAATTAGGGTTTTAATCATAATTCATTTTAGGGTTCATGACTATATATTATTTGGGGATTTTAATTTCTAAGGTTTGGAGGTTTAATTGAATTGGGGTTTTTGCTTATTTAGTATTAATTGGCTATTGTAATTGAAAAAAGTGAAAAATTAGACCAAAATAACGTTTTTAATTGGACGAAAAACGTTAGTGGGTAGTGCTACCCAAACTTTTCCAAACTTGCGGGTAGTTTTAAACAAATTAAAAAAAATGGAAATTTCACCAAATGCCACTGAGTAATTTAAAAATTCACCAAATGCCATCGGACTTTTCAGAATTCACCAAATGTCACCCAGTTCTTATAAAATTCACCCAGTGCCATTAATGACCAATTACCGTTAACTCCGTTAGTAATTAGGGGTTAATCATGACACGAGTCATGACATAATTGGACCATTTATCTTAATTCATAAAAATTAAAAAAAAAAACAAAAAAAGTTAAAAAAATTAAAAAAATTAAAAAAAAAATCCCCAAAATTTTCCCAGCCACCTCGACCACCGCCAAACACTAACCCCTCCCCCCATCTCGTCGGAAAACGGCCGGTCACCACCGGAACCACCAACAATCGGCCGGTCGACCATGTAGCTCCCCACCCGACCCATCCGACCCCCAAAACCACCCACGCTGCTCGTCCCGACCCCTAAAACCACCTACACATCCGCCCCGACCCAAAAACCACTCGTAAAAAGCCCCTCCTCCCTGTCCCCACCCTCAAAATCGGTCGTTTTGACGGTGGGAGAAGGGAGGAGGGGCTTTTTACTGGTGGTTATTAGGGTCGGGGCGGTTGTGTGGGTGGTTTTTGGGGTGGGTGCTGCTCGTGTTTGCGGTTTTATGGGGTCGGGGCAGTTTGTGAGGGAGGTTTTGGGGGTCGGCGGTGGGTCAGGTGGGGAGCTACATGGGCGGCCGACCGATTGTTGGTGGTTTCGGTGGTGACCGGCCGTTTTCCGGCGAGATGAGGGGAGGGGTTAGGGTTTGGCGATGGTCGGGGTGGCTGGGAAAATTTTGAGGTTTTTTTTTATTAGTATTTTTTGTATTTTTTTTAACTTTTTTTTGTTTTTTTTTTTAATTTTTATGAATTAAGATAAATGGTCCAATTATGTCATGACACGTGTCATGATTAACCCCTAATTACTAACGGAGTTAACGACCGTTGGTCATTAATGGCACTAGGTGAATTTTTTAAAAACTGGGTGGCATTTGGTGAATTCTGAAAAGTCCGATGGCATTTGGTGAATTTTTAAATTGTTCAGTGGCATTTGGTGAAATAGCCGTAAAAAAATGGGTAGTTGTTCACAAATGACCCTATCTTTAGGGTAGTTCTACACAAAATTTTCTTGTTAAAACATGCATTGACAAACATAATACTATAAATGTGTTACTAAGCCCTGTTCTGATTGACTGAACTGAACTAATTGGAGCTGAACTGAACTCATTGGAGCTGAACTGAATCTTTTGTGAGAGAAGGAAATTAAGAAATTGAACTTAACTTATTAGATTGAACGAGAGCCGGCCTTAGAAAAACAAGAGGAAGTATTGGTAAGAATGTGCATTATTTACTTGCAACAGAATGCTAAGTATAACACAAGGTGTAAATTAAATAAATAAATAAATAAATAAATAAACAAACAAAATTCTTGAGTGTATTTCTGGATCTTTCTACATAAGAGAAAATCCCATTGTTAAACCTCCATCTCTCGCTCTAGATTCTGAATTTCAGAGACTAGAAGCCGTTGAAGATGTCCCTAATTAGGGTTTCAGGAAGAGCATCAAGAACTGCTACCACTTTGTGCCGGAACTACTTGATATCTCCTATTCTTCATTGCAATCGAGTAGGGTTTAATTGGGGTTTAAGAATTATTGTGCATTACTCATTTTTTGACCTCAAATTTATCATTTTTTGTCCTCAAATTTATCATTTTTTGTTCTTTGTTCAATGGGGTTGTTGAATTTTCTGTAAATTTGTTGTTTTTAGGAATATGAATTGTTAGTTGCTTTGTGTTTGTTTAATGGGGTTGACAATTTTTGTGTAAATTTGTTGTTATCAGGAATATGAACTGTTATTTGCTGCTCAACAACGTTCGTTTTCTTCGTCTATTGGTGGATTAAATAGGATTCTTGGCAGCTCCTTTAGTAAAAATGATACCTTGAACAATAGCTGGTTGCGCAATGGAGTTTCAATTGGAGTATTTGGTGCTACAAGATCGATTCATGGCTCGGGTAATCATTTTTACTGCTAATTCCGTTTCATATTTTTTGATACTTTAAGGTATCATTTGTAAGATATAAAATATTACAAAGTTGCAAAAAATATGAAACGGAGGCAATACATTCATTTGATTGTTTTGTGTTGTAGAGCTATAGAGGTTAGGCCATAACTTCTTATGCAAAAAAATTAAAATAAAAAAATGATGTTATAGAAATTGTAATGTGCAAAATCTTTGAATAGAGTTTTGTGATACCAACTTGATTGTTTCTTTTGATAGGTGTTATGTCAAAAGATTATTACGATATACTCGGTGTGAGCAAGAATGCAACTCAATCCGAAATCAAAAAAGCTTTCTATGGGGTATGCTTTCAGCCTCACATCATTAGATGTTACAATTCAATGATTTGTACTTCTCTATTAATTAAAGAGTGTACAAACGAGAAAAGTGGAAAGTTTGCAAGTGAAGGCGATAAGTATGAATGCTTTGATGAGTTGATGACACCCATCATTGTTTTTCTCTGTAGTATTTATTTTGATTTGTACTTTCTTCAATTGTTGGGTTGAATTGTGCTGCAGTTAGCCAAAAAGTATCATCCAGATATGAATAAAGACGATCCCAATGCTGATAAAAAGTTTCAGGAGATCAATAAGGCCCATGAGGTATTTTTTGGTGTCCTAAACTATAGTTGTATCAGCTTGCTATACAAGAGTTATATCTATTCAGGTGCATAATATCTTGTTATGTCAATTTATAGGTTTTGAAAGACGAACAAGAACGCGCAGCTTATGATCAGGTAAGTAAGAATGTGCAATACATGACAGTGTATCAGATGCAATTGTTCCTGTTTTATCCCTTGGAAATTGTGATGTTTATATTCTTCCTCATTTGGGGCTTGGGTGTGTATGCTTAATTAATACAACTATTTAGAATTATGTTCCAAATGTTAGGATAAGATTCTATCCAGAATTAAAATGTCGCGAGAAATTAGTATGAAATTGCTTATTTCACTAATGCCCTTATTATCTTGTCTTTCCTCCTTTTTTTTAAGGGATCTTGCCTTTCCTCCTTATCTTATCATGTCTTCAGTATTTTGAGCTTCTCATTTTACACTCTCTTTTGATAGTGTTTTGAAACAAATGAAGATATAGTGGTTTGTGCAAGCAAGCTCACTTAGTATTATCGATTGCTGACAAGGTGTGGGCAACAATTCTTAGATGTAAACTGATTGCTTTCTTTTATGGATAAACGTTTTTAAGGAGTCACCTCCTTCAACTTTTTATATACATTTATTCTTGTGCAATAATAGTCTAATAGGCTTATAAGAGTTAGAACATGGTAGCTGTGCACATTGGGTGCTCTTACAGATTAATTCTTGATTCTTGAGTATGGCATGACAACACTTGGTGGAAGATATTTTTGTTAACGTTGTATAGAACTTATATTTGTACGTGAGGTCATGTAAGCTGTATATGTTTAGGAAATGCTTGTACGGTTTCTTTGCAATGCAGGCACATCTCTTTTAGAGCCTTGTTGATTTGATTTTAAACCTATTTTAACATTTCCTTTCCCTTTTTCCTTTATTTTTGGAGATTTTGCTATCGCCTAACCTGATTCTCATCTCATCTCATCCCACCCACCCTTTTCCATTTATTTTTGGAGTTCTGCTACCCCCCTAACCAAATTCAAGCAATAAAGAGCTAAAGACTCAGCATACAAAGGCATGTGTTTTCTGCCCATGGTGATCAGAAAGGCGATCATGGTCGGTGGTGGGATTCTAGCAGGTTGTTGTTGTCGTATTTATTTAATTGGGATGGTGAGGGAAATAGGTGGTGATGGACTGTGGGTTGTGGGATAGGGAGGTTTGAGATAGTGTCGGCCTGTCGGGTAGCTGTATGTACTGCCCATGGTGATCAGGAAGGCAGAAAGCTGATCATGGTGGTGGCCGGTGGTGGAAAAGTAGGTCATGTAGCTGTTTCTTGCTGTCTGATTTATTTATTTGTTTTTACTTGAACAAAAACATAATGAAATCATATAATATATAGTATATACCCCTCCCTTCCTCAAAACAGATGAGGTGGGTAATTTTGGGTGTTTTGATTCAATTCCTTCTCTGTCTCTACTCTTATTTCCTTTATTTCGGTATTTCCCCACCCTTGGTAATATTGTGAATCATGTGACTATATTGTTTTAATTTTAAGTAGAGCACCTTGTTTGTTTTTTTTAGAACTAACTAATGTTTTTTTTTTTAGATGGGCCATGATGCATTTGTACAAAGCAAAGAAACCGGTGGTCCTGGTTCATATGAGAGCAGTGGTTTTAATTTTAAGGATTTTAATTTCAATCCTTTCAACGTAAGGCTATCAAACTTTTCTGCATAATGTTATTATGTTCTTACTTTTAACTGTTTTATATTGATCTTTATTTGGCTATTGTGAATTTGCAATTTGTTGGTATGTGTTGCTATATTAAGAGGTTGATTATTATCTATCTCCTCACATGGTCTCCAATCCTACCCTTCCCACACCTATTTTAATTTTTTACTCACATTCCTTACCTTTTTTTTTTTTTTTTTTAATATTTCTGAATTCTCAACAAATCCCCCTTGTAGAATATATGAACAAAATCATCTCAACCGTATAAATCTCTGCGTGGGTCTAAGTGTTGCATTTAAAAAGATGGAGGGGGTATTATAAGAAGATTCTTGATATGTGAGAGAGGGAGATGTTAATTTTTTTTAATGTGCATACTTTTTAAGTTGAACTTCTTTTTCTTAGCAAAAAACTCAAAAAAGTTCAAAATCTATGCATACTATGCTCGATGCTTACGTAAATTGAGACAAAGAAATTTGAAAATTTTTCAAAATATGCGCGCATTCTCTTCGAAATTCTTCACATATAAACCTTCTCATTTTAACACCCTTATTTGAATAAAATAAAATTGTTTTTTGGTTAGTAAAAAAATAAATAAATTAATGTTACATATCTATCCTTTTTATTTATAAGAAAAATGACATTCATTTTAACACCCTTTGAATTGCCTTCTCGTTTTCACACCATTTTTGTATTTGAAGTGAAGGATGCATGTGCATATTTGCAAACCAAATGTGCAGAGTTTGTTTTTAGTTGAATTTATTAATGCCTGGGAAAGTTATAATATACACAAATTCTATATAAAATAATACGCACACTCAAATGGCATTGTTGGTGACTTCTCCACATTCTCCCCTTTGTCATTTTTTTTTCTTCTCTCTTTGTCCTTGGTGTTGGATTGTTTGGTGAACCATCCACCATTAAGCAAGGAAACCAAAGTATGTGAGCATATTAGTGCTTGAGTTGATATTTAAGGTGCATTAGCAATCAATTGATATTAGTAATTTGTCTCTGTGATAGCCTGGACTTATGCCAAGTAGCATCAGCAAGTTCTAGTACTTGAATTTTTGATGCTCTGAGGAAAATAACCAAGAAAATACCAAAAGATAGCCAAATTTGGTTTCTGAATTCTTGCACAATATTTTAAACTGCCTACTTGTTGATAGTCCACTGGAAGGAGTGCGATATTATCATTCATTTTATTATTTTATTTTATTTTAATTTCATGCTCTGTGTTTATATGAGACTTTTGGCTTCTAGCTTTGAGGGCATTGCTACATTTTTTTTTAATATCTAGACCTAATCAGGGCAGGCTGCACTTGGCAAGTTGGCATTGTGTTGTTAATGGTTTTTTTTCCTAGCGTTTTTGTCTACAACCATCTGTTTGTTGCAACCTTTAATTGAACAGAAAATTAGATTGGGGCTCTTTGGCTGCCTCTAAGCAATTAAGCATGAAATAATTGCATCTAGTGACTTGAGCCTTTTTTTTGCTGCTTAGTAGCATGTATTTAGGTGGCAAGGAGGTTTCATTTTGTAATTCATTTTTTGCTATTTCTGGTTACACCCATGCTTCTGGAATTTACTTACATGTCTCATCTGAATACTAAGTAAGAATGTGAGAATATTTATATCAGCAATGTCAAAAGTGATGTTCTTACCTTTTGTGGAGCAGTTTTCTGACATTTTCACGCAAAAAACGGGCCAAGATGTGAAATTATCCTTAGAATTATCCTTCATGGAAGCTGTTCGGGGATGCTCCAAAACAGTGAAATATCAAACAACTTTAAACTGTGAAGCTTGTGGTATGTTAATTCCCCCTTCCCCCAGTAATGTATATTTTCAAGATCTTTCTGTTATTTTATTTATTTTATCTCCAAAACTGTATATTTTTTTCCAGCTTGCTCCAGTTCTTACATATTTGTCTTTTGTTATCTATTTTAGGTGGAACAGGTGTTCCTCCTGGAACCAAACCTGAGACATGTAAACGATGTAGAGGGAAAGGCATGGTCTGTGAAATAAAGCACAATGTTTATATTATTCGTTATCTGATTATAGTACATAAATTACAATCTCTAATCCTGATGTTTTGTATTTCTGATTTTCAGATTTTTATGGAAAAAGGTCCAATTGCCTTTCAGACTACTTGTATTAATTGTAATGGAACTGGGAAAACATATACGGTACAATCTGTTTCCTTTTGTTTATATTTGTATTTTAGTACTTATGAGCTGATTCTTTATGCCGAGATGGTTCATGTTAAATGGATCTAATGTCACCCCCTCCTCCTGCTGTTGGTTTGCTTATGCACTGGTTATCTATATAGATTTAATGTCACCCCCCCCCCCTTGCTTATGCCTTTTTTTTTAATAAAAAAAATCAGCTGATAATTGAAAATAAGTTTGTTTGTACTTCATGAAGATATCATTTTATTTACACCCTCCCTGCTGCATTTTAATAATGCTATAATAAATGTTAACATATAAAGCATTGCCATACTTAATTGTTTTCTTGTGTGATTTTGAACTGTTGTGTTGAAGTGGTTTTCCTGTTTTCATGTCATGGAAAATATGTACTCTTGTTGCCATGTCATTACAAGATATTCACCAATGATGTTCTGTTCAAATGTTGTAAGAATGCTTGTAATTTGTTTAATTTTTTGGTCTCTGCCATGTAATTATTGTTTATTTTCTGCTGTAGAAACTTTTATTATCTTTGGAAACTTGTGTGGTATTCTGATGATAAGTTTGGTTTGGTAACTTTACTTGGCATAAAAAACTTATCAGCAACTTCCTTCGGGACAATAGTTGCATCATTTTGATCATGCATGTTTATCAATGCAATGCTTTGACCTTAATTATCTATAATTATATTTCAACAAAATCATAAAAAAATGTTTTAATTAAATATATAGAGATTAACCAATCAACAATTAATGTAATGCTATTTATTGTTACATACTTCGTATTAGTTATTAAACATGGGCAAAATCAATATGAAGTGGAAAAAGTCAATATGATGCAATTATTGTGAAATGGAGGAAGTAATTGTTTTAGCTTTGTCACAATTTTCAAGAACCATGTTTGACAATTATTTTCATTTGTACTCTGTAATATATTATCTTATTGGGATAAAATCCTTATGAGTATACTTTTCAAGAATAACCCAACAATGATATTCTTAAAACACAACCCATCGTAATTTTTAGGAAATTTTGTCTAAAACCACCCCCAAATACTGTTTTTTGTCAAAAACCATAAAAAAAAATGTTGCCTAAGACCACCCAAATAAAAAATTTTGTTGTCTAAGACCACCTAGATCAACTTTCCGGCATTGACTTTGAATTCCAGCGTTGACCTGGGGCATGTGACAACCACGTGACCCCCCTCCCCTTTTCTTTTTTTTTCCCCCCTTGAATTTTTCTGACCACCACCCACACCACCGGCCCCACCTCAGAACCACCAGCTCACCCAACCAACACAAAGACCCCAACCACCAACCTACCCACCACTACTCCCACCAGCCCATTCCCCACCGTCACACACAACCGCACACCACCACCGACACCACACATCACCACCATTCCACCAGCCCCACCCCACACTACTAGCTCCACCTCAAACCACCACCTCACCCAACCAACACAACGACCCCAACCATCAACCTATCCACCAACATTCTCACCAGCCTTTTCCCCACCGTGACACACAACCACACTCCACCACCAACACCACCACCATCCAAAAATTATTGCCAAAAACCAAAATTAACCCATTAAAATGAAAATCAATCCAAAAAAATCGAAAATTAACCTAAGAAACGAAAATAATGATACAAGACAATAGGAGAGCCACCCCAAAAGCTAGCTCAAGGGGAGGAGAGCCCATTGCCCTATATAAATCCCACATTAGTCCCCCATATGACCGATGTGGGACTCAAGTCCCATTCCTTGCAATGGATCATTAGATCCGCAATCAAGAGCCACCCTCTTGTGGCCTCAATGAGAGGATCGTAACAAATAAGCCCATAAATAAGAAAATTAACACAATAAAATCGAAAAATACCACAAAAAAAATTAAAACCATTAGATCTACAAAAACAACGATATTTAACAAACAAAAATTAAAGAAAATATATAAATATACAATTATCTAATAATATTTATAAACTAACATCACAATTACATAAAACATTAACTAGATCTACAATCTAACCTAAATTAAAACAAGATCTACAAGAGATAGTAAGTTATTGGCTCGTGACGGTGGTTGTTGGCTTTAATTTGTTGTTGTTGCCTTGTTGGTGTTACGCCGTTGTTGTAGTTGCGGTTGACTATGTTGGTTGTTGGCTTTGTTGTTGTTGCGGCAGTTGTTGTTGCGGTTGATGTTGGTGGTGGTTGGTTGATGTTGTTGGTGTTGCGCCATTGTTGTTGGTGGACAGAGAGAGAAGAGGAGGACCAGAGAAGGAGAAAAAGAGGAAAGAGAAGAGAGAGGAGAGAGAAATTCAAGGCAAAAATGCTCAGAAAATTCAAGAGAAAAAAAAAAAAAGAAAGGGGGAGGGAGTCACGTGCTTGTCATGTGCCCTGGGTCAAAAATTATTTGGGTGGTCTTAGGCAACATATTTTTCTTGGGTGGTTTTTGACAAAAATTAGTATTTGGCGGGTGGTTTTAGACAAAATTTCCTAATTTTTAATATATCGATATTGAAGATTTTGAACTGAGGAAGTTCAAAGAGATATGATGAAATAGGAATACTAATTGATTAGGGGATTTTTCCCCACCAATCACCATCTGACAAGTGGACCCATCAGGTTCCGCCATGTGTCCGTCACATGGGCCAATAGGAGCCTGCCACGTGTCAAGCAATGATCCGTCCACTATGGACCAATTACGACACGACACGTGTCCTTCCCATGACACCTGGGATAACCGGTCACCTAGGCCCAACTTCCGAGGGAAGCCCAATCAGCCCAAGGTTAACCTAAACCTAGATTGACACGTTTCCCGAGGTTATAAATACCTCCCTTAATCCTCATTAAGGGAGATTACGCTAAAAACGCAGATTACACATTAAACACTCTCACCTAGAGAGACCCAATCACTTTAATTTCCGCATTAATTACTCCTTAATCAAGTACTAACTTGACCGTCGGAGGCGGATCTCCAATCATCCGGAGCATCCGTTTGTTTTGCAGGTACAGACGTCCGGTTCCAGTCTCGGAATTGTAACTCTCCCGCAGGACATCAGAAAACCCCGAAACATCTTGGCGCCGTCTGTGGGGAGAGTACTTCTGAGATGGCATCCACGTTTGTACCGGTTCCTGGAGAGAGACGTCCCCCAAATCATTTGCCCCTCACAGGTGGCACGTGACTGGTCACGTGTTACCTGTGACAGGTATCGCCCTGTAACAGGCGACGGCCTGCTACAGGTGTCACTCGGCGAGAGGCCGAGAGATTCTCCCGCCAAAATTTTGAATTCTGGAAGTGACCCTTCGCCTTCTCACTTCACCTATATAAAGGAGTGTTGACTTCGGTCATTTTCACACTTGAAAACTTTGTGAGAGAACATTCGGACCCCTGAACTTGCTCTGACATTTTGGACCCTTTCTGCCTACCGCACAAGCCGACTGCAAAGGATTTTCAGAACTTCATCAATCGTCACTCGTTCAGGTAACCGTCGGTTCTCTTACTCTTAATTTTCTCTTTACTTTATTCTTTTTTGAAATGGCACCACGGAAGCACACGACACGACCTAGGTTAGTGATCAGCCGGTCACCGGGGACGGCTGAATCTAGGGCTAGGAGTGCCGCCTGCCCTTTTCTGGACCCATCTTTGCCCTTTATACAAAGTCCGACTGTATCTGTGTCTATGCAGAGCATGATGGCCAGAACAAAAAAGACTGCCAGGATCTCAAACTCAGACGGCTCCTCCCACAGGGTGCCGATTAGTGAAACATCTGACCAGGCGCCAGATGTGGAAGTGAAACAAAGCGGCTTGAAAGTCGGCAGTTCTGAGGGAGGAGTCAAAGTGACCCCTTCCCATTTTACAGTTGACAATTCTACATTCTCTCCTGCTCCTTTTAAAGGAGAGGAGGCGGGCCCCTCCGGGAGAGGGGAAGAGTCGTCCTCTTCGGACTCGTCAGAGGACGATTCCGAGTCTAGCTCTTCTGGCCATGCTTCCCTGGACACAGAAGAGAAAAACAGTCGCCTACAAGAGGCGAGGCTTTCTCACGCAGTTGAGAAGGGGGACGATTGGGCGGAGCCATCCGCCTCTCACCGAGAGCAAAATACCCCCTACTACTGCACGGTACCTCGGGGCCGGATCACGGCCATGCAAGAGAAAGTGGAGAGCTTTATCGCAAACCACACAATGGGCCCCGACTTTTTAGTGTTCGTGCCGGATCCAGAAGACACAGTCGTATGGCCGGCTGGTACCAGTTATGATGGCGCCTGCTTTGGCTGCTACGAGGCGGCCAAGGCTGGGCTGCGCTTCCCACTACATCCAGCTGTTCAGCGGATCTTGGATGGGTATGAGTTGGGGTTATGGCAGTTAGCCCCGAACTCCTGGGTCAACGTACTCGGTTATGTGGCCGGGTGCGAACTGCACGGGGTGGAGCCGAGCTTCGAGGCTTTCGCCCACATGAACTACCTCAGCCGGACCCCTAAGGCAGGCGGTACCGGCTGTTATCAATTGACGAGCCACAGGGGCTACCTCATGACGAAAGGTAAAGCAAACAAATGGAAGGACTGGCGGAGCACCTTCCTTATCATTGAGAGTTCAGACACAGAGCTGAACAAGCGCTTCTACAGGTGGAACAGGAATCCGCCCCTTCTTGCAGGCGGCCGCAGCATGCCGCCTGTTCCCCCAAGGCTAAGAAAGAGATCCTAGATAAAGGACTCTTCAAAGTAGAGTCGAAGGTGAACTCTACTTCAGGGGTACGAGAGCAAGTACCCCTGCACTGCGTCCCGAGCTTCAAATGGCTCTACGACGAGTACTTTTTGGCCGCCTGTGGCCTCAGCAGTCGGTGCTCAAGAGGTAGCCGGCCTGTCGAATACTCTGCTGTTCCGTGCATTTCTTGTTATGACTTTTATTAACTTTGCTATTTGTTTTTGCAGCGGACGCCATGAGCAAAATTACCGCCTCCAAGACTGCGGCGGCCATGTTACGGGCCTCCATCATGCAACAGTCTTCAACCGACTCCCCCAACAAGGGGGCACCCTTGGTGGGCTTCGAACCTTTCACCCTCTTTTTGGAGTTGTGTTTATGCATATACTGACTCTTTTCTTCTTTTTTAGACGGGCGCTCCAAGAGCTTCTTCTTCCC